AAATTTTTTACTTTTGGTTATAAAAGGCCTGCCTTCATAATATTATAAAATCTTTTTACTATAGATTGGAAGGTTATTTGGCGAATTCCATCATGAGCATATTGCCTATTCAATTTTTGGTAAAATGCCACCACTTTTTGCATCCACATATTGTCAGTGATATTCAATTGCTTTACTTGGCAATTTTATTTGCAATGAGACATCTGTAACTCTATTTTTGTTATATTGTATTTGACAACTCAAAATTAGTAGCTTCTCAGTTCTGTTTTTATAAATGAAAATATAGATTCTTTACTCCAATACGCAATTATTACTATGCTAGTCCATTTTAATGATGGTGAAATTCTTGATGTAGTGTTTTTATTTTATTACTATCAAAAGATTGCTAACAATTCCTTCTCAGATATGGATAAGTATTTAGGAGTCAAGGTGTTGTTAAAAAAGATAATCAAACTCTCGTTGTTGCTTAGGACCACCCATTTTGTTTTGTTACATGCATTAGCCCCTAATATAAAAAGTTAGAAAAAATTAATAAGGGTGTCAAGAAGCCACATCTAGCGATCTACTACTAAAGTAAGTGCAGAAAAGAAAATTCACATGAATGGATTAAAGATAGGGTTGATTGGTCGAATCAACTGAAGAGGATGACATAAATCCCTTCCCTGTCAAGGTCACTGCAGTATCCATGCAACATCTAAATCCTTTTGCTGCTATTTTCCCTGTCACTTGTAGCCTATAAATATGCCTCTCCTTTATGAATGTAAATCACGGAAAAATAAAACAAATTACCTCAATAAAAGCTCTCATTTTTCTTTGTTCTTTCTCTCTTTTTTTCTCTCAAGTTCGAAGTCATGAGTAAGGCTTCTGATAAGATAATATTAGAGCTATCGAAGTTGGCCGAAACATACGTTGGGTTCACCTCACATACTCAATCTAAGGGGACAATAGTGATGACAAAATTTATGAAGTAACAGTGATCAAATCCATCGTGAAAGTGTTGAGATCCTAAAAAATCATAAATAATTGCAATGATTGATAAGAATTCTCATATACCAGAATAGTTACAATGGTTGATAAGGATTTTTGTATACTCGAATAGCTATAATAGTTGATAAGGTTTTTCATGTACCTTTCTATGTCCATAAATACTAGTTGTAAATCAAACACAAGGTATGTAATTTTATAGAATAAAATCTCAGTTTATTATTCTCTCTCTAAATTTTCTATCTTTTTATTCTCTATTCTCTCTGATCTCTATTATCTCATCTCTTTCTCTAATAATTTATCTCCTATATATATTTCTCTCTCTTGCTCTCTTTAACATTTTCTCTCTCTTTCTAAAATATTATTTCTTTCTCTCTTTTTCTTTCTCCCTCTAAAATCTCCACTCTTTTTTACACACAAATCTCTTCTCTCTCCCCAGCTTCCTATCTTTTCTATTTCTATAACCCTCTTAGTTCTTTTAAATTTCTTTTAGGGCCCCCCAAAGACTCTGTTTTTTTCTCTTTTCGGATGGTAAATATTTTTCAAAATATGGAGTGTGATTCAAACCCATATTTGAATTAAAATTGAAATACTGATGCAAGTTCTTCTCTTCTAAATCAGATAGATTCATATCTAAAAGAGGTTGACAATAAGTTCTTTCAAAATTAACTATTTGTCCCTCTGTTAGAGGTGTTCCAAAAATATCTGTAATAGAGTAAATAGCTCTACGAACTAATGGATCGGATCAAATTGCAAAACAGAAAGATTTGTACAAGTTATACATTTCGTCACCAATTTGTGAAAAAATCGTTAGACATGAATATCTTTAAATTTTTTTCAAAATTATCTAAAAATTATTCAAAATTTAATTATTTTCCAAAATTAAGGTTCTAATGAATTATATATTAAAGGTCCCTAATAACTTAATATCATATCCACCTACCAGATCACAATGGGAAACATGATGGATCGTGAAGCTTTTTGATCGGATGGAGTAAAAACTCGATTCGATGATCTAGTTGTTGAGTGGCAGCATTACCTTTTT